TAAATACATACCCCCAGTGTATGTCCTATTCTAGCAGGGCGTTTAAAGGATAGAATATTTTGGAAACGTGTGTGACCTCCACCAGTTCCTTGTGGGTTTGGGGTTGCTTTTTGTTTTTCAAATTCAGAGACCCAGCAATCTTTGAGAGCAAAGGTTCAGAATGTTCTAACCATATCGAAGCCAGGCGGTAGAAAAATTCCACCCTTACCTTTTCACAATTAGAAAGGTTATAAATAATGTATTTGGCTGAAAAGGAAGCTCAGCCTGTGGCAGATGGTATCATTCTAGAGAACCCGAGTTTCTGTGAAGATGGCATTCTTTCAGATCGGAACTCGAGCAGACTCTCAGAAAGAGCCGGAGCTCCTCATGGAGCGCAGACATGTGCTTTATGGATCTTAGAAAAGCTTACAACTTGGCTCCTAGGATGAGAATATTGTGTCACACTGGGGTTAGGAGACCCACAGCCAATTTCTGCCGACTTCCAAACTGTATTTCCTGACACTGGAAGCCAGGGCCTCTTCCTGGGTCTGTGTAGCATTTGAACTTGGGATTTAAACCAAAGGAGTTTGATCAGCCTGGTTATTTTCGTCTCTGAACATGGATGCTTTATGCAGGCTGGCCACCAAATGGGACTTGCCAGGCAAGTCACATACAGATCTTTGTGAAAGAGACAGGGAGAGGGTGATCTCTCATATGGATCAGTATAGGCGATCTGGGGGAAGGCAAGCCCCAAAGCTCTGACTCTCGAGACATCTGTGTGGATGTAGCTTCGGAAGCCTGGGGCGGGATCTCTTGCAAATTCAAGAGCCAAGAGTTGGAAGAGCTCTGGGTGGGAGCTGGATAACCAGAAGCGATGGGTTGAAAAGATTCTCTGATAATGAAGCTGCCATAACCTCTGACCTTTAAGAAAGCAGAGAGGGTGGCTTTCTGGCAGCCCGCAGAGGTGACCCATGCCAGTGACCTTTTATTGATCCCCATCGACGTGCCCAGCCCTGTGATGGGCCCAGGCTATACGGAGATAAGTCCCGAGGCTCACCGCCTAGCAGGAAAGAAACAGCTTGACAAGACCATCATGGTGCCCAAGAAAGGGATGCTTGGGCTGTCAGGAAGGACTTAGCAGCAGTTCCCACGGAAGTTATCTCCTAGCTGAGCAGCTGTAGCTAGAGATGGGTGAGGGCGTGGAGCTGACATGTCAGAGGAGCGCCTGCAGGCCAGCTTCAGAAGGTACCACCGGGTTGGAATATTGAAACGATTCCAGTGGAAATGCTCTTTTCCATTGTGGTTTTCTCTGGTTACGCCTTGATCCGACTGGTCATTGGATCATGGATTTGTATCCTGTGTGTTCTTCGTAAGAAAATTTCTCTGACTTAAAAATGCTTCGTTTGAAAACTGTATCTAAGACTTGAGTTATTTAAAGCATAGTCTTTGGACTGATCTGAAATGTGATCATATAATAAAAGCCAATGTAAAGGGAGGCGGAGGGTTGTCATAGTAATTAACTTCTCTTAACTCTGTGCTCAGTGTGGTCCAAGCTCTGTGCTAATTGCACCACATTCATTATTTTATTTATTGTCTGTCCAAGTACCTCGTCAAGTTATTTTTCCAGTGTCCTAGTCCGGTGGTAGACACGAAATATGAGTTCCGTAGTTATTCGCAGAATGAATTAATGGATTCTCAGAACTCCCCATGAGGTGGTTGCTGCTGTCACCCCCATTGAGCATGGGGGGCGGTCCTAGTCGTTGATTAATTAGCTAAGGTCGCCCCACCAGCGTGCAGCATGGCCTGGACTTGCATGTGGCTTTAGTTGATTCTGCTTCATCAGATGAACATGTGAAAAGTGAAAGTCGCTCAGTTGTGTCCAACTCTTTGCGACCCCATGGACTATACAGTCCATGGAATTCTCCAGGCCAGAATACTGGAGTGGGTAGCCTTTCCCTTCTCCAGGGGATCTTCCCAACCCAGGGATCGAACCCAGGTCTCCTGCATTGCAGGCGGCTTCTTTATCAGCTGAAAATGTCATGTGTATGTAATACGTGCCAGGCATATTTGGGCTGGAAAGAAATACAGAGCCCCAGACCTGTATGGACTCACAACTTAGTGAGTCATCTTTTTAGTTAGTAATCTTTTCAAATCAGTATCTCCTTGTGATGACAGAAGCATCCCGAGCCTTTCTCTGTAGAAATATGGATCTTTGTCTACCTTCCCCCTTTCCCACCTCACCCCGTAGGAAAATGTTATCATCTTGACTCTGTCCTTTGTATTATCAAAGCAATAGGTATTCATGTCCAAATTTGAAATACACAGCAAAATGTGATCTTTCAAATACCACGTGCCTCACAGTTTTCTGAGGTCTCTCTCCCCTCCTTTGGAACTCATAGACCTAGTCAGATGCCATGCCTAAGCCTTCAATAGAGACTTTACCACAAGGGAAAAAAAGTCTCATGTAGTGACTGACTGAGCCGTCTAGTTGTACAGATCACTGCATATTGTTCCAATAAAAATAGAGGTGACCCCAAGTTACCTGAATTATGGGCTACTTCCCAGCCCCCTGAAAGCACAGAAGGAGATCTAGAAAGCTGCTCTGGCCTGCTTCATAACCTGTGGATTAGCTTTTCGATTTATGTCTCGCTTAGGCTAATATTTACATTAATCAGAGTTTCCCTAAGCATGCATCACTTGACAGAGTAGAAGGCATCCAGAAAGTCACTTAAGGACAGCGCGTACCAATTTAGGGTTAAACGAGGGCAGGGGGAAGCTTTGATGATTACGCACATATGGATATTATTTTCCACATATGGATAATAATGAACTACATAGCACTGTTACATATGGGCTCTACTTTTATGAGAATATTTCAGATTTTTTTCTTTTTCCCCACACATTATATATCCCCCCCCCCCATATATTTTCCTCTGTGGGTCTACTGAATCACATTAAATTGAAATGATCTGTTTACATGTCTCCTGCTAATTGAGGGTAAACTTCTTGTGGGCAAAGTCTGTGTCTTAACCACATTTGTGTCTCTAGTACCAGCCACTCACATAGTAGGTGTGCAGCCCAGAGCAAGTCTCATACTCAGAACTATCGGCAAAGTCAAGTAGCCTGGACTTGTTTATCAAAAACCTCAGCAAAGTTTCAGTATTTCATACCTTTCTAAAAATTAAGAATAAGCTACATGCAGAATTTGCATGTACTATTGCCTTAACATTTAAGACTCTCCCAGCATATCTAAATTGAAGAGTAATAATTTTTTAAAAATTGGACCAAAGTAGAACATGGGCTCTCGCCCATTTGCAGAATCACTGTGATCCATCAGTCATCTCCGTAGTTTTATTATCGTTGACTTTATTGATCCATCATTAACAATAGAGTAAGTGTGATTGAAGCCGATGGATTGTTAACTGGATCAGGTAGATTTCTGGCTCTGGTTCTGGCAACCTTGCTAAGTATCTTTTTGTACCCTGGACTGAGGGACACTCTGAATTAATGGCAGAGTATCACGAGCACATTAAGCATGTCTTTTTAGAGAAATAAAATGTGGAAATGACTATCAAGTAGAAAGTGTCAAAAAAACGTCATTATGGCTCTTAGGATAGCCGTGTTTTACATCGATAATGTAACTGCAACTTATCCTTCACTGGAAGTTCTTCCAAGACCACCTAGATTTACGTGTTACGAGAATGTGTGCATGTTGCGAAATTAGCACTGGTGAGAGGTGTCGGGAGAATCCGTGATAACCAAAAGTGCTCAACATTAGAAGTAGCTTAAAGAAGATAATGGTGTAAAAGATGCTTTTGTTCCCAAACTGGCTTTTCTGGTTGTGGCTCACCTCCCAAACAATTGCCTTCTGTAAACTGTTTGTCATAGACCAACTGACGGTCCGAAAGGTAAGTTCTCGTGTTTCTCCATATAGGAGACTGGTGCTGCAGAGTCTAGTTATTCCTGCAACTCAATTGAGAAATTAATTTAGCCACTACTAGAGAGTATGCGTGTTCGGGATCAAGTCACTGAAGTGACCAGAACCAAAACTGGCAGGAAAGAAAATACTTTTCCGTGTTGAAAATGAGTTTAAAAAAGAAAAAAAAATACCCAGTAATATGTCAAAATCATCGTCTGTCTTCATTTTTCTATGTTAAACTGTTGAGTCTATTTTCCAAGCTTTTTGTTAGACGCAGGATGAAGATAAGTGACAAAATAGGTTGTTTTCTTTTTTGCGGTGTCCTTGAGAAACAGTTCACCATGAAATGCATATATTTAAAAATGTTACACTTAGTTTGAGATTCAAAACCCAAACTTTATATGAAGCTAGCAATAAGATGGCCGTATGCTTTTTTTTTCTTCTGATAGAAGATCTTTGTGAATAGGTTGTTTCTTCTTAAATGTGGTCAGTCGGCCTTGTAACAGTGTTAATTTACCTGTGATTGAAATACAAATACTGTGAATAAACAGTGTAAGGGGTGTTTCCCAAACTTTAATGTGCAGGCAGCCCTCCTGCGGATCTGATTGAAATGTAGATGCTGATTGCCCTGGCCTAGCTTAGGGCCCAACCTTCTGTATTTCTAGTAAGTTTCCAGATGATGCTGGTCCCTGGACCATCCTGGGACTTGCAAGGATGGAGATTTAGGCATCAGACCACAAAGTGGCATTTATTTATGAGCTGTGATCAGAAAGTCATCTCCAAGTGTTTGGATTTATTGGGATGGGTGGACAGTTGTCAGCCCAGGAATAGATGACATTTCCCATACATACTGGAGCAAAGTCTGTGGGCGTGATCGCTTTATAGCAGTCTCAGTGGGCTGAGGCTTTCTACTGAAATAAGCGTTTGACGATCTACTTAGTGGCTTTGAAGAAGTCGCGGCTTTAGGCTAAAGGGAGGCAAACATGTGTCGGTCCTCCGTGGATTTAAAAAAAAAAAAAACGAGTTTGCACAGTTGAAAGCATGACCGTGTTCCATCTCGTGCCACGATGTATGACAACTGTTCTTCCCCTTCTCCATGCAGAGCATGATCTCCTCCATTGTGAACAGCACTTACTATGCAAATGTCTCAGCGGCAAAATGTCAAGAATTTGGAAGGTGGTACAAACATTTCAAGAAGACAAAAGATATGATGGGTAAGCAGCCCGCCGTGGCAGCCGTGGCTCCATGCTGCCGCGTGTTGTTTGGAGGCCTCTCCAAGTCACATGTGCAGCCAGGTCTCGTGACCGCCCAATTAGAGATCGATTTAGACTGTTTCTTGGAGGGTGGGGAGTGGGCCTGAGTATAATGAGATAATTAAATTCAGTAAATGTTTGTGTTTAAATCAGCCCAACTGACTTGGTTGTCAGACATGCAGGAGATGGAGGCAAGGGCGGGGAGGGGGCAGCTGTCATTTTTTTAACATCTCAGTGAAGGCCTCACCAGGCCTGGAATAGCTAAGAGTGGCTGTGGGTTCTCGGAGATAAGTCATGCTTTTGCGGGTTTTTTTGTTTGTTTGGTTGGTTGGTTTTGTTGGAGAAGAAGGGAAAGTGCCAGATTTTACACCCAGTGTTTAAAGACGTTAAATTGTATTTATAGTCTCCACAGTGGAGATCAGGTGATGAGTGGAGCTGTTGTCTCCAGTCCCCTAGATGGGGACGTTGGGTGGGTCTGCTGCTTTCTGGACCATCCATCACCCAAGAACCATTGCATCATTCCTCCACTCTCCACGCCAGACCTCCTATCTTAACGTGTAACTTTAGGTCAATATTTGTTACTCAGGGAACACATTAAAATTATCTGCAGTGTGAAGTGACAGATAGAAGTTGTGTGTTGTACCTGAGCGTTTAGATGATGACTTTTTTTTCCCCGTTGAGTCTGTTAGTGTTTGTAGAAGCAAGCACTGTGATTAAGGTTAATGTTTTAATTTCTATTAAGGTTTTCTTTCACATGCTTGTACCTTCCAAATAAATGTTTTAAAATAATATAGGAATGGGATGTTTAATATGCATAGCATTATGTCATGTTTTCCGTCTATCTCTGTTTGCTTCCATTACATTGATTTAATAAAACAGCAATAATAACTTCTCCTTAAGATTTTAAGAGGCAGGAGAACCTGAATTTTGAGCCTGTTTTAGCTTTTAATATTTGAAGCAAAATCATCCATCTACCAAAACAAATTCTTTGCCTTTTATAGCTTAGAGCTGTAATGAAGACAATACATCATTTTTTGGAATAATTGCTTGAATTACTATTCCCTATGAATGGCCCACTTGGGCTGATAGCACTGGTAGAAATGGAAGTTTCTTCCCCAGTTCTTAGTTATATTTTGCATATATCAGTGATTATAGTGATATGATAAGTTCCTCTAAATATAAAGTCGGAATATTTAATAAAAAGAGAAATGATGATGAAAATCAACCCAGAGTCCACACATGGGAGGCATGGAGTACTATTTTTTTATTTATTGGCTGCACCGCACGGCTTGGGGATCGAACCTAGACCCACAGCCGTGAAAGTATGGAGTCTTAACCACTGGGCCCCCAGGGAATTGCCATGGTATGCTGTTTAGAAGACTCGCTTACCCACCATCCTGAACTCCCGTTCCAGAGCATCAAAGCTGCCTCTTCCTTCTAGCCACAAAGCGATTGACGCCCTTACTGCCCACTCTCAGCTGGCCCACATGAGATGTCTAGCCAAGGGAGAAACATACATCCCCGGTGGGTGATAATAAATTGCAAAATGGTGACATCACCACCTTGCACCGGGACGACTCCCCACCTCTCCCTTGAAAGATTGTCATTAGCGTCTGGTGATGGCCATAGCTTCTTCAAGAAGCATTTGGATCTTAGCAACACTGGGTACACTGGCTTGCGATACGATAAATCGGTTGCTTCATTCTTTTTTTTGGTTGCTTCATTCTAAGTAATGATTGCAGCCCCAGTGCCACCTAACTTGAGAGTTATAAGTCAGTGAAACAGGACACGTGAGGCACTCAGCCCAGGGTTCAGTCTGAACTCAGTTCTCATTACTTATCATGATGAGCCCTTTATTGATTATATTGATTGCTTTCTTAAACTCACAACTGGTTTAAAATTGAACGTGAATACCCTTTAGATCATTTTTCGTTCAAACCTTTTTCTTGAAGTGGTAACAGTGTATATAAGTGTGAAGTGAAGTGAAAGTCACTCAGTGGTGTCTGGCTGTTTGCGACCCCAGGGACTGTACAGTCCTTGGACTTCTCCAGGCCAGAACACTGGAGTGGGGAGCCTGTCCCTCCTCCAGGGGGTCTTCCCAACCCAGGGATCAAACCCAGGTCTCCCGCATTGCAGGCAGATTCTTTACCAGCTCAGCCACCAAGGAGGCTTCCATATGTGTGTCCAAGTATTTTCTCATTGTAAACATACGTATACATAGGGCTTCCCAGGTAGCATAGTGGTAAAGAATCCACCTGCCATGCAGGAAACACAAGAGACTGAGGTTTGATTTCTGGGTCAGAAGGATCCCCTGGAGTCAGAAATGACAAATCACTTCAGTACTCTTGCTTGGAAAATCCCGTAGACAGAGGAGCCAGGCCGGCTACAGTCCATGGGATTGCTATATATATATATATATATATATATATATATTTGGATATTTCTTTTTTTCTACAGTTGCATATGATATTTTCTTAGCTTCACTCTTTCTAGTCGCCAGTAAGGAACTAGTGTTTTTCTAGAATTTTTTTTTTTGGTGGGCATCTGTACCACCTGGCTTGTGGGATCTTAGTTCCCTGACCAGGGGTGGAACCCAGGTCCTCAGCAGTGAAAGCACCAATTCCTAACTACTAGGCCTCCAGGGAGTTTCCCTAGAAGCTGTTTTGAAATAAACTTTTGCTTTTATAAGCCTTCATGAGATCAGAAGTAATAGTGAACTATTAGTGACCCCCAAATTAGTCGAGTAGAATGTGAAAATAATTGATTTCGGGCCTTAAATCTAAGCCACTTTACAACATTAGAAAGTGTTTTCCCCTTTTCAGAGTTGGCGGCCGGGTGCGAAAAGAAAGGTAAACTCACAGCCGGTTGGGTTCCATCCTCAGATGCCCTTGGTTTCGTTGGACCTTCAGCACGCCCCGTGCCGCTCCGTGTTTAGGGGAAGCTCAGAGCTCCTCCGCGGTGCAGAGTACCGGTGGCTAACGTGGTTCTCCCTCTCGCCCGCTGCAGTGGAAATGGATAGTCTGTCGGAGCTGTCCCAGCAGGGTGCCAACCACGTCAGCTTCGGCCAGCAGCCCGCCCCGGGGAGCACGGCGGAGCAGCCCCCCTCGCCTGCCCAGCTGTCCCACGGCAGCCAGCCATCCGTGCGGACGCCGCTGCCCAACCTGCACCCTGGGCTGGTGTCGACGCCCATCAGCCCTCAGCTGGTCAACCAGCAGCTGGTGATGGCCCAGCTGCTCAACCAGCAATATGCCGTGAACAGACTCCTAGCCCAGCAGTCCTTAAACCAACAGTACTTGAACCACCCTCCCCCCGTCAGCAGGTCTATGAATAAACCTTTGGAGCAGCAGGTTTCCACCAACACAGAGGTGTCTTCCGAAATCTACCAGTGGGTACGTGATGAACTGAAACGGGCAGGAATCTCCCAGGCAGTATTTGCACGTGTGGCTTTTAACAGAACTCAGGTCAGTTTTGTTCATTTGAACATGGTTCCTCTCTGTCTTGCTCTTCCTTCTTTCATCCTGGCTGTGCTAACCTTTATTCTGCTGCTGTGTCCCGTGTTAACATTTTCTCCTGCTCGCCACGTGATCCTGTTGTCTGTTCTGGGGGTGCCTACGTTTAAGCACTTCTCTCCTTAGCAGAAACCTCTCCTACCAGGAGAAAGCTATGTACAGATGGATCCTGAATCAGGGGCCTTGAACGAACAAATGTCAAAAGTTGACATTACCTATGCTTTTACCTAATGGAAACAGAGTGTTCACAGCCAAGGGAGAAAGGTTTCAGGACTTGGTCAAGGCCACTGGTAGGACTCCAGGCTTCTGGCCGACCAGCTTCCTTTCCTAGACCAGGGATCAGCCAGACCTTTTCTGTAATATGCCATACAGTGAAGATTTTAGGCTTTGAGGGTATATTAGCCATAGAAGTAAATGTGTGGATGTGGGTATGGTGTTTCAGTAAAACTGCTTATAAAACAGGCCCTGGAGTGGGTAGGCTTGCCCTTGGAAGCCTTGTTTGAGACTTCTCAGTGAGTTTTGCATGCACCTGTTGCGTTCACACCTTTGTCCTCCTGGGAAAATTTCTGTGAAGGTACTATCAGCAGGGAGAATATTTAGCAGGGGAGATATTTAGAGGGTGATCCAGGGGAAGGCCTAAGATAAAACACTTGAAAAGCCCTAAACAAAGAGTGAATGAGAGGATTTTTTTTTCTTTTTTTGGCAATTAGTACAATATATATGGTGTTTATTTCTGGCCCAGGCACACACAGACACACACACACCAAAAAATAACCCAGAAGAACGTGTAACTCTGATTATCAGTGAGGACATAATGTCTTTTAACTTTCTTGTTTTGGAACCCAGGTCCTCAGCAGTGAAAGCACCAATTCCTAACTACTAGGCCTCCAGGGAGTTTCCCTAGAAGCTGTTTTGAAATAAACTTTTGCTTTTATAAGCCTTCATGGGATCAGAAGTAATAGTGAACTATTGGTGACCCCCAAATTAGTCGAGTAGAATGTGAAAATAATTGATTTCGGGCCTTAAATCTAAGCCACTTTACAACATTAGAAAGTGTTTTCCCCTTTTCAGAGTTGGCGGCCGGGTGCGAAAAGAAAGGTAAACTCACAGCCGGTTGGGTTCCATCCTCAGATGCCCTTGGTTTCGTTGGACCTTCAGCACGCCCCGTGCCGCTCCGTGTTTAGGGGAAGCTCAGAGCTCCTCCGCGGTGCAGAGTACCGGTGGCTAACGTGGTTCTCCCTCTCGCCCGCTGCAGTGGAAATGGATAGTCTGTCGGAGCTGTCCCAGCAGGGTGCCAACCACGTCAGCTTCGGCCAGCAGCCCGCCCCGGGGAGCACGGCGGAGCAGCCCCCCTCGCCTGCCCAGCTGTCCCACGGCAGCCAGCCATCCGTGCGGACGCCGCTGCCCAACCTGCACCCTGGGCTGGTGTCGACGCCCATCAGCCCTCAGCTGGTCAACCAGCAGCTGGTGATGGCCCAGCTGCTCAACCAGCAATATGCCGTGAACAGACTCCTAGCCCAGCAGTCCTTAAACCAACAGTACTTGAACCACCCTCCCCCCGTCAGCAGGTCTATGAATAAACCTTTGGAGCAGCAGGTTTCCACCAACACAGAGGTGTCTTCCGAAATCTACCAGTGGGTACGTGATGAACTGAAACGGGCAGGAATCTCCCAGGCAGTATTTGCACGTGTGGCTTTTAACAGAACTCAGGTCAGTTTTGTTCATTTGAACATGGTTCCTCTCTGTCTTGCTCTTCCTTCTTTCATCCTGGCTGTGCTAACCTTTATTCTGCTGCTGTGTCCCGTGTTAACATTTTCTCCTGCTCGCCACGTGATCCTGTTGTCTGTTCTGGGGGTGCCTACGTTTAAGCACTTCTCTCCTTAGCGGAACCCTCTCCTACCAGGAGAAAGCTATGTACAGATGGATCCTGAATCAGGGGCCTTGAACGAACAAATGTCAAAAGTTGACATTACCTATGCTTTTACCTAATGGAAACAGAGTGTTCACAGCCAAGGGAGAAAGGTTTCAGGACTTGGTCAAGGCCACTGGTAGGACTCCAGGCTTCTGGCCGACCAGCTTCCTTTCCTAGACCAGGGATCAGCCAGACCTTTTCTGTAATATGCCATACAGTAAAGATTTTAGGCTTTGAGGGTATATTAGCCATAGAAGTAAATGTGTGGATGTGGGTATGGTGTTTCAGTAAAACTGCTTATAAAACAGGCCCTGGAGTGGGTAGGCTTGCCCTTGGAAGCCTTGTTTGAGACTTCTCAGTGAGTTTTGCATGCACCTGTTGCGTTCACACCTTTGTCCTCCTGGGAAAATTTCTGTGAAGGTACTATCAGCAGGGAGAATATTTAGCAGGGGAGATATTTAGAGGGTGATCCAGGGGAAGGCCTAAGATAAAACACTTGAAAAGCCCTAAACAAAGAGTGAATGAGAGGATTTTTTTTCTTGTTTTGGCAATTAGTACAATATATATGGTGTTTATTTCTGGCCCAGGCACACACAGACACACACACACCAAAAAATAACCCAGAAGAACGTGTAACTCTGATTATCAGTGAGGACATAATGTCTTTTAACTTTCTTGTTTTACCACTGTTATTTCTTTTGTCAGTTTTTTTTTTTTAAGCCTGACTCATACTTTCCTTTCATATTTAAGTTATTTTGTTTATTACATGATTATAAGAATAAAATCCTGGTACAAAAATATCTAGTATTAATTCCTTGCTGGCAGAGTTTCCATACCTAGGAGAATCCCAGCTGTGACTTATTTTTGGCTTGCCTTCACTGGATTGAAAGTTAGGAGGCCTTAGAAAAACTTTTATCTCAGTGTTTGTTTTCGGGTTCTTTAACTTTTTTTTTGTACATTATCTGTCTGTGTTTAAAGGGATGGCTCAAACGTTTTTCCTCAGGTTGCAAAATTATAAGTGTTTGCCTAGTTTTATATCTTTAACTTAAACATGTATTCATTATTAGCTGGTACATTTAATCTGACACCCCTATTCAGTTGGAGGGTCATTATTTTAGAAAAATAAAGTGAACAGATGAAAGAATCAAGTCAACCTTCTCGATACTCCCGTTTCTGGCAGCGTCATTACTTTTGTGAATAGCAGTTAACTACCAGTAGTTCTCAGTCCTGGGCAAAAACCAGGCAGGTCTCTGCAGAAAAGTTCAATAAGATGCTTGTTGAACTGAATTGAATGCCCACAAACATAACATTGACGTGGACACAAATGACTCACAGATTCACTGGTAAGCATTTTGGAAGTTGAGCAAATTGTTATTTCTTAAAGGACCGAGGAAAGTTTGTTTTATATGGTAAAGAGTGTCCAGCTAAAGGAGAGAAGGGTTAGGTCACCCCCATTGGGGTGTTTTTTTCATCTTTGGGGCTGCCGTGTCCCAGGCATCACCCTGGAGAGTGACCATTTGTTCTTCTTGGGTTTTCACATGGACAGAGTCCATAGATATCAGTAGGATTTGTTACTGGGAAAAAGGCGGAGTTCTCCGTTTTTTATACCCTATCAGTCTCTCCAAAAAGATAGCTATTTCTGTGGTTAAACATCAAAAACAGTGACTTAATGTTTTTGAGGGAGAAAGGGGAATGAAGACTGGGTACAGCTTGATATCCATCTCTGTATTAATAATAGCCAGTTGAGAAACAGTCATTACTGAAAAATTGTCTGGAGCCCCCAGTGACAGAGGGGTTTGTTTTAAACCTTTATATTGGTAATTGGGACTCCTCTGTCGAAGTGGATGTTGGCCATATTTGTAGCTGTCTGATTTCAATGAGAGTAATTTTTTAATGTGTATTTAAGGATCCACTTTTGGGGAATTCGCTTTAGAGCATGCAAGCATGCATGTCTTTTCGGTGGTCATACTGAAACGCCACGCTCACGCACGCGCACACACGCAGCTGCATTTATTTTAATGATTATACATTCATATGCGTGCATGTAGTGTGTTTATTTCAAAGTGTATGCATTTCAATAAAAGCAGGTGCAGCGTGAGAGTGTATGGTATGCGTGTGGAGGACGAAAATACACATGCTAATGCATATGTATAGAGCAGGAGCTCTGCAGAGTTAAACCACGCACACGTTTGTGTGCGCTTATTACAATGTGCAGTTCCAGCTTCAGGTTTAAAAAAAATTAATGTAAAATATGTACATACAAATGCAGAGTTCTGTGATGTGATCGGATAAAGACACTGGCCCCCTATAAACAGTACATGAAAACGTTTGTATAATAGATAATGGTATTGTGAGCTGAGACTGTTTTAGCCATTGATAGGTTTGTATAATGTTAAAATCCTGGATCTCTTGTTTTAAGTCTTCTTTGGAGAATTTTCTCATCATACTAATTGGGTCTCCTAATTTAAAATCTATCTCTCTCTTAAGATGTTCATGTGTCACTTTTTTGAAAAGGTCTAAAAACAAAGAGGTTTTAAAAAGTCTACCTTTTCTGAAAGTTTGTGATGAAATCGATATCATTTCTTGTTTTGAGGACTCCTCTACCTTCTGAATTGAGGGGCATATGTTCTTTAATTGCTACTGAAGATACCAGCTCTTAGCATCTGCCATTCATTCAGTTATGCCTACTTGATGTCTTTTTAATGGAAACCCATGGCTAAAATTAATTGCTGAAGCTTCTAGACTTATACATTTCAATTCACTTCTCTGTATTATTGCTATTTAAAGGTCATCATAGAAGGAAATACATTCTTTAGCGCCCCCCCCTTTTTAAAAAAATTTAACCCAGAGTTTAACTCTGATCCATCCAGTGGCTTTTTTTCTGCCCCCCTCCGCTTGTCTTTGGCACACTTTGTTTTCCAGTAAAATAAAGAATGAAGATGGATTATTCAAAACTGATAACAGTAATGGACCATCATGTAATGTTTTATTGAATTTGAGTCCTGTAAATTATGTGGTAGAGAGAAATTTGCCTGCTTAAGTATAACAGAAATTGCTACTGTGTTCCTATAATTCTTCACAGTGTAATTTAAGAAAAGTCCACTCTCCATATCACTATTGAATAAAAGGTAAAAAGGTGCTATTACCCCAACGTGACAGCTCTGGTTTGGCCTCCCAAAAGGCAGAGATAAATGTGTCTGCTTATAACTTGCTTGGCCTGAGTCCAGGGGAGTAGGTGGAGCTTCAGAGTAGTCTTTCACCTGGACACGTGATTAAAAATTCACCAAATGGCAGAGGCAGGTAGCCCTGAAGAATATGCTACATGTTTTATTTTTAGGAGGCGATTTCATCAAATCATATTTTTCTTTTGAGGGCTTTGAAGTTCCATGAAGCTGATAAAAATCTATTTGAATCAGTGATTATGTTCAAAGAGGAGACTAACAGGAGGCCAGACAGGCCTTTGTTCAGATTGGCAGTCTCTTTCGCTTATCTGCTGTTTTCAAGAATTCATAATTAGCTTTTGGAAGTACTGATAGTATTTATTGAAGGTTTTTCTTTCTTTTCCAATTACTAATGAATTTTACTTGTAAACTCTTTCTGGAATATAAAAAAGGTTTAGGAATTCATCAGCAAGTTCACTCTTTAATTGAAAATATTAGAATTCTGACAACTGTCGTGGAATGACGACGCAGAATAATTTCATGTTTTCACGTACGGAGCACATATTGAACGATTTGATGACACAAAGTACAGTGAAAAGCAACTTCTCATTTCCCATAAAACTGACATCCACGAGGTGCTGGTAACTCACTGTATAACATACAAAATGCAGGTTCTTTTTGGAAACACGAATGACTGATGATTTTAATTTTGTTCAACAAATTTACTGAGCACCTGTAGGGCACAGTATTGATGTATTTTAGTCAGCAGTAGTAAGCAGGGTACACAGTGACCGTGACATCTTGTATTTTTAGCATGAAGAAGAGTTTTGATAAGAGATCTTTCTTATTATCCACCATGGGGGATTACTACAAATGACCTTGACCTAATGTGACAATCTGAACTAGAGTTTCAACCATGAGAAACAGGAAACAGGACCACATACATCTTGAAATCATAAATGCCGCTGCTCAAGTCACAGCAGCCTGAGCAGGACCAAAACGTATGTTCCCAAATCGTAATTCTCATAGCAGTCATCTTGCGTCCAGATTTTTCTCAAGTGACGTCATTTTTTTGAAAGTAATTAACACATTCTAATCAAAACGTTTTCTAATAATATTTTCAAGCATTTCCACCAGGGGGCACTCCCCTCATTGAAAGCCTGGGCCAAAAAAGAAGGGAAAAAAAAACCCTGAAGGTTTTGTAGAACACCTGAGACTGTCTACACTGGCTGCATTAGAGCTCTTGGAATCTCCCAGGATTTGAGATATCGGTCTAGACCTTCCAACACATCCCAGGCAGAAAACCCCTACTTGCTCTTGTTAGAATAATTAAGTGAAAATAAAATGCTTCGCCCTGAAAACACTTTGTATGCTCAAGTGGGACATCATGCCGACCTCAAAATGTGGTTCGAGAAATTTCTAAATTCTCTCCCAATTGACCTGCTGTTACTCTAAGCTACACAGGAATCACTGAGTCTCGTGTTAATGAGACTTGATGTCGTTACGTATTTCTTCATGTGTTGGTTTTCTCACCGTGGTTCTCTAGTGGAAAGAAAGGATATTGACTTGAAATCTCTGAATATCTCATTTCAAATTTCCCGAATATAATAGCATCCTAAATGTTTACAGGATCTCTTTTGATCTAAAATTATTTTTTGAGCTACAGTTGATTTGTGATGTTATGTTAGTTCAGAGGTGCAGCACAATGAATCAGGTTTTATGTGTGTGTGTGTGTGTGCATGCACACACGTGTATGTGTGTACACATACACGTGTGTACACATATGTGTATATTCTTTTTCAGACTCTTTTTCCTTATTACCAAATATTGAGTATAGTTCCCTATGCTATGCCCTGGGTCCTTGTTTATATTTCATGTCTACATATATTGTTTATTTACATATGTTATTTTTATATGGCAATGTGTATGCATTAATCCCAGTCTCCTAACTTATCCCTTCCTCCTTCCTCTTTGAAAACCGTAAGTTTGTTTTCTAAGTCTGTGAATCTGTTTCTGTTTTGTAAGTAAGTTCATTTGTGTCATATTTTAGATCCCACATATAAGCAACATTATGTGATATTTGTCTGACTCACTTCACTTAGCATGATAATTTGTAGTTCCATCTATGTTGCCACAACATTTTTTTAAATTACTGAACAGTTACTGCGTATAAACATACTACAAAGTGCCACGTAACTTTTCACTGAAGGCTTTGTTTGAGTAAATTAATAATTACCATTAGAATTTTCCCATGAGGAGCATAGCTTGTTCTTAAGTTTCTGTCTCCTGCTTGTAATTTTTTCCTTTTATGCTGCAAGACACGTAATCCATTTAGTAAATATTTTTCAAACATGTGGCAGGCATTGTTCTGGGATAATATTAAAGGGTATTAGATTATTCTACTTGAGGAATTTATAACATTGTATTTTTATGTACTATATGTTAATATCTCTTTCCCTATAGTTAAGATAGACTGCTTTGCCAAGTACATCTTTTAATATCTTTAAAATTTTTTATCCCCATTTGGTGGGCAAGATTGCAGAGTAGGGGCTTTTTTTTTTTTTTTTAACCACCTATTATAAAACATTGTTTATGAGACCTGCATTTTTTGGTTTCAACATGACATATCAAAAACCCAGTCAATCTAATTAGTTGGCCTTGTGCAAATTAAATAGCTGTGTGATTGACTGCCTGTTTGACTAGATTTTAGTTAAATTGACTGGATGTTTTGCTTTTGTGTAAACACAGTTGCAGCATTACTTGTCAGCATCGTGAACGATAGGATACATACCCTTCATTCTTCAGTCGCCTTTCTTAGGGTGAAGCTGGCTTCCCTTGTGTGGGCCAAGTGAGAAACTCAGATGAACTCCTGAGACCTCTGAGCCTGTTGGAGGCTGTTTTTAACAACAGTCTACAGGTCATTTTTAAAGTGGACACTGCTTTTATATTGTATGTACCCAACTGTTATCTTGAGGCAATAGGCCACATTATCCCTGAGGAATTGGGAACAAAACCAGGTTTGTGCTTCTAGGAAACCATGGAAAAACCGCAGTGTTTAACCCCACGGCTTGGTGGTTTTGACACATTACCTCCCTGCCCCAAGTGTACCCCATCGTCATTTTTTCAGGGTTATCAGAAAGTGAAATTTGCAAATTATAAAGAGGTCTTGACAACATTTTATCCTGAGCCATGTTGTGATAAGCTGAAATGTAGGAAACAATCATGACTTGGCATTCCACGTGCTATTTTATGTAGAAGATTGAAGAGGTGAGGGCTGCTCACCCCTTACCAAATAGGCAGGAAATGTTTCCAATTCTTGTATTTCATGTAATCCCTTAAAGAGAATTGTGGGAAAGCACCCATTTAAAAAAAAAAAAAATTCTTCCAAAAATTAAAGTAGTGGCCAGTGCTCTGTTAAATAACAGAGGAGGGACACCCGGAAGGAGTTTCCTAATAATGGTTCGTGTGTTTCTTCTAGCACTAATAAAAATATTGCTCAAGAAACGGGATTATTACAGAACTTGAGAATATTCTTTTCCATGGCATACTACGATGCTATTTTGCAAATGTGGAAAAGGGGCTGTGTATCTCATGTTAAGGGTGCTTTGTGAAGTTCAGAATTTCAGCCTGTTCCTGGGTGGTATATAGCAGGCTTGGGGGCTGTCAGGATGGTCTCCTTAAGTTGTAAATAGAATCACTTGTCATTGACTCCAGTAGTTTGAAAACCAAGGAATAACGTAGAATTATTGCCTGTGAAACCCTCGTGTCCGTCTTAGATGATGGCTTAGCGATACTTAGTCTGTTGCGATTCATTTTCCAGTCTTTTCTTTGTAAACCCTGCTTCTCTCGAAATGGCTTTGTATCTTTACATATTGGGCTGTTGGCATTCCACTGCCTTTTGTTGGCAGCTTGAGAACTGTACAGCTCAGTGCTGTTGTATTATGAGCATTTCATTTATTCCTAACTTGCCTCAATCCTCACTCGGAAAGATTTCATGGCAAGTTAAGCTACTCAAAGGAAGGAGACCAATTAGGCAGTTGCCGTTTATGTTATGTGTAAAGCAGACGCTTAATAAAATTAAGAACACAATTGAGTCTCTCTTCTCCACCACTTCAATTGTAACTAATATATTCCTGTGTAGAATTGATGCTTCTGACTGTTCATTTTCTGAGCAGAGTGGAGACGAAAAGGCAGGCATCCCCACGGACGGGCAGAGTCCCGGACCCGCTCACCCTATGCCATTCATCCCCCGCAGGGCTTGCTTTCAGAAATCCTCCGAAAGGAAGAGGATCCCAAGACTGCGTCCCAGTCTTTGCTGGTAAACCTTCGGGCTATGCAGAATTTCTTGCAGTTACCGGAAGCTGAGAGAGATCGAATTTACCAGGATGAAAGGGAAAGGAGCCTGAATGCGGCCTCGGCGATGGGTCCTGCCCCGCTGATTAGCACACCGCCCAGCCGCCCTCCCCAGGTGAGGCGAGTTTCCGCTTCTTCCTGTTCTGCTTTTGGTTTTTGTTTTTTTAAAAAAAGGCTAAGGAAGACTCTCAATAAGAAAATAGAAAGATGCTCAGGGAGATTTTCTAAGGAACAGTAATTCATAGTTGCTTGAGGCGAATTTAGTCTGTAGTCTGAACTCACTAACTCTGGTTTAAAAACGACAGGCTACTAATGGGAAAAATCACTTTGCATTGCTTCATTTTGGGGGTGAAAAGTGATCTTTAAATGGGGTATTTGGCCTTACTACTATTAAGTAAAAAAGTGTTTTAAACTCAATAGGAAAATGTAATGAAGTCCATTTTATCCCTACCAGTTTTAGAACCACCATTTGAATAGTAAATAAATAAAAATAAATAAATAATTCTATTTGTATTTATGCTTTCCAATACAAACTGCAGCTGGTACCAATTACACATCATCTCCTTTGTAATCTTTCATAATTAAGTTTAATACAATCCTTAAAGGCAGCTTTAAATGGACTGATAAGGAATTCCATCCATATTCCCAGAAATGGGCACATTCTCTATTTACCACACTTTTGTACTTTTTAGAAAAGTCACCTTCCTGATTATTTTTTAAATCAAGTTTAAAAGGTGGCATTATAACTATTATAAAAATTCAAGAAGTTAATTTCAGCACAAACTATTAGATATGAGAGTGGACTAGACTTAAAATCTTCAAGTAAGTGTATTTCTTACATATTTAATTTGTGTTTTGTGCAGTTCTTAAAAATAAGGTCAGCTAAAATGACAGAAAGTGAATATGGAATACTAATTTAAAGTACTTATGTAACATAATGTCATAATGAAATTATCTCTTAATGTTAATTTCATCCATAGTAAAAAATAGCCATTTATTTCCAAGTATAGAAATAAAGTTCATTCAACACTAGAAATGAAACTGCCACAGAAACTCCATAAATGAGAAATAGACATAATATACAGCCACTTGTGGAGGGTCTTAAGCTGCATATTGTGATGTTCTGAAATGATTGCTTTTTAGAAACGTCACAAAAGTCCATTTTCTCCATTTTATTCAATGAAAATCAATTTGGTCCTGGTGTCTGTAGGAGCAGAGTAAGGAAGGCTTTGCTGTAATTGTGAATAAGAAAGACATATGTCTCTAGCAGAAAAGAATGGCTCCCATATACATTCATACATATCTGTCTCCTGCAGATGCACGTATTGAATTTGATCTGTCAAGGCTTCTCTAAAATACTCCTTACAAATAAGAACGAAGAGCTCTTTACATACATATATGACATTTGTAAGAGTGATTAAACAAAAACTACTCTCCTTTAAGCTTGATTGAACACTCAGTTCATGGTGTTCAGAGTTAATTTACGTACCATCGTTAATTTCGTTGCTGCAGTCATCATTGGAAGGCCTCTGGGCAGAATTATTGTACTTATCATTTAATCTGCAATACTAGCAAAAGAAGGACTTATTTAAGACCAGGGTGAATTTAATTGTTGAGTTTCTTTCTTCTTTTTTTTTAAATCTGTTCAAATATTTGGCTTAGTAGTTCCCTAATACAGCTTTTGTTTTCTAGGATTTTAACGCTTTTGTTTGCTTTTCAAATGTGAGCCTGCTCTCCTTATTCATCAACTGTTTTCTTCTAGTAACATTCATTCTTAATTGTGATATTTATTTTGGTATACTAGTTAGGTACTCAGGTTGCTTTACTACATGTATATTAAAGACTATCTCTGATGACAAGTTGGGTTAGAAAATATAATTTATTTGGGCCTGAATTACTGATGAACTGGTTGAGCCACCCTCAGCTGATGTGTCAGTTCTCAAGAGGAGTCGAGACTAGGCCTTTTAGCCTGGATATTTAGCCAATGATGAATGTACTCAGGTACAGTAGATTCTTAGCGAAGCGCTTTCCAAGAAAAAAGTTTTTATTTGCACAATAGTATTGTCCATCTAACAGAACTCTGAAATGATTCTGCTCTGTGTGAATAATTTTATCTCACTGCTTCATGTAAGTCTTCAAGGTTCCCCCTGTGCTTCAGTGGATGTGCCTCATTGAGCGTCCCTGAAGCCCCGATTTTATCATCCCAGACCTCACAGGCAGTTTCTTCACCTTTTACCCTTTGGCAGTGATGCAGTGGATTAAATTTGGGGGAATTTTTAATGTGCTAAATGTATCGTCAGTGCAGAATGAGTACTTTGGATTTAGAAAAGCAGGTTATGGAGCAGTTGAGTTAGTCCTGTCTTGCAGCAGCTGAAATGCAGTGCTTACACTGGAACCAGTACCGCATGGAAGACTCTCATGTGCTTATTTACAAATGACCGGAAGGGGAGGAGAGGATGAAGCCGCAGACCAGGAGAGGACGGCAGAATTTTGTCTCTTGACGTTTTGTATTTTGCCAGAGAGGAGTCTGGAAGAGATCACTGTGCGTTTCATTGCCCACACAACTCCCCCCCTCCCCGCCTCAAGTGAAGATACTCAAAAGCTATTTTGAGACAAGTCTTGGGCTTGGATTGGACCCGGACAGGCTTGCTTTCTAAAGAACTGCCTGCTTTGCAGGCAGAGGTCCCTTGTGGCTCACCAGAGACTCAGGGCCCCTGACGCTTGAGAGAATGGAGCCTCTTCCAGCTCCTTCCCTGGAGAGTGTAGGTCACACAGGAGGTGGTTGGAAGTTCCTGGCTTGTACCAGACCGAGGACCTAACCCACAGAGGCGCTCGGGTCGTCTGCAGGAAGGGGCTTCCCCAGGCTTTACTCTCAGGAGAGCCTCCCCCAGGGAAGGCGTGGACCATTCTGCAGAGGCTCTTGGCTGGCCTCGCCTCGGTGAGATGGCCATGTGCCTCCCTGTCCCTCAGACTTCGGAGGGGTAGTCACGCCAGGAGCTTTGTTGAAAGTATATTTTCACAATGTATGTGTTCTAATTCAAGAAATGCAGGTTCCGTGGGACTTCCATGTCAGTCCAGTGGTTAAGACTTGGCCTTCCGATGCATGGGGTACGGATTCAATCCCTGGTTGGGAAGCGAAGATACTGCTCGCCTTGGGGCCAAAAAAACCGAAGCATGAAACAGAAGCGATATTGTAACACCTTCAGTGAAGACTTTAAAAGTGGTCCATGTCCCCCTCCACCCCCCCCAAAAAAGAGAATACCTGATTCACAATTTTCTGAGCACCTTCATGTACATGAATTCCTGGAATTCTCATACCAACCTTTTGGTGGGAGAAAAATGAGAAAAGTCAAAGACGTAGTTATCAAGTCCTCTAGTCAGTCGGCTGCTCTTTCCTCTACCTCAAGCTGCGTCCTGAAAACATAGACGGTTTAGAAAGGAGAAAATGGAACTTGGGGACTCTGTCAGAGAGGATGAGAATCTGTGTTACCAGCTAAGGAGCAAGAACACAGATGAGAACGTTGTCCTGATGAAATGCATTGACCGTTTGACGGAGGATCTGCTTTGGAAGACTTTGGGCATTTCTGAGATTGTAGAGGAAAGAGCCACTTTGATTGTAGGACTATCTGGGAGACACCAGTCCCTCCAAAGCCCCCTGATCTGAGAGGTTTCTTTTCTACCACTTGGCAAATTTTTCAGATGAGTTTTCGAGATGAATTTCATTAGTGGTAATTAGCTGTTACTTTCTGGGAGGTGTCTATTCCACCAAACATAGTTTAGTTGGTGGCCATTTTAGTTGGTGGTTTCTGTTTAGGTGTGCACTTACTGTGGATTTATTTGTGTGTTTTAAGATATGTGACATTTGAAGTTAAATTAGCATTTGCTGCCTTCCTAAGGACTGTTCAAAAGCCTATAATTATCAAGTTTTAACTTTTACATGAATTATATAATTATTTTTCTTATTTCTTTAAACATCTCTTTAAGGAATTCTTTGGTTTCTTCGGAAGTAAGATGTGATATTTTATAACAATGTTTTAGAAGATGTACCAAGTTTATAGATGCAATATACCAGTATAATTAACTTAATCTGGTAGCTTCACCCTTCTGCCTCTTTACAACAAATTCTTCTATAATATAATAAAATGTTAGTTATGGGCAGAAACTTCACACTTGATAAAAGTTTTGTTATTAATCTCTTGACCAGCTTTATGTTAAGACCACGTATGTGCTTGGAAAATACTTCTCCTTAATGGTCATCTTTTAAAAGCTAGAGGACTTTTGAAAAGTCCATATTTGAAAAGTAACCAATATTGTTTCTACAAAAGGAAGTGTAAAAGGATAGAACCATGATACTCCAAACAGTGTTAATATATACGAATTTGAAAATGGAGGCTTTTTTCTGTCACCAATAGGAATTCCTCAAAATAGCACGTCTTACATAACATTACTAAGAAAACGTTTATAGTTTGCCTAACTTGAAAAATAAATTTAGATTGGATTTGTTAAACCAATGATAAAACCATTTGCTACTAAAACTTAGACATTCATGAGCTAGATTTAGCAAAGGGCCATGAAAAAGCAGGTGCATTATGTCTTAGAAAGTAAGAATTTTTCCAAATAAAGAAGTCCTATGTAATGCATCCTGCAGTGGACTGCGGTGCTTTCTGAGATAAGCATTGGTGTTAGACAGACCCAGGTTCAGTCCTCAGCCTTGCCCCATGGACAGATGACTTAACATCTTGGTAGTTTTCTCAATTTAAAAACAGAGCAATAATTGAACATTAATATTAACCTGCTCAGGGCTCTTACGCAGGTGGATGTACGTTAACCCAGTGCCCAGCCTATAGTAAACAACTAATGTCAGTTTCTCTTATCGTCATAATTATTATTAAAACTGCATCAGACCTTGACTGGTGTGTGCGTGCACCGTCGCACACGTGTGCAGTGTGTGCTCACAGGCGCTTCCCCCGCGTCAGGGACGACCCCGGTCGAGTCCACTCTGTCCCACGCGTGTCGCACGTACGTAGGATGGCTTGGTGAATTCAGCAGTACGTAAAGGAGCAAAAAATTAAAAAAAAAACCTTCACGGAAGATTTGTGTTCTGCTGCGCAATTTTAGTGAAGTATCAAGCAGGCTCTCGTGCCGCACCCTTCCCCACGTGGGAGGGTGAATAGCAGAAGGCTCCAGTTCTTAACTACTTCCCCGGCGCCTCTGTAATGATGGAGTGGTGTGCGCTACCTTGATAAAAGCTATTCAGAAAAGCAACTGCCTTTATTTTACCTCCTGTGCTATTTGCGGAGAAGAGCTGGAGAGTAGTTTGTTTTGCCTGGAATGAACTACTTTATGAATTTTAATGTGTGATATAATATTAAAAGCTAAACCAGGATTAAAGAAGATTTTTTTTGTGCTAAGCTAAAATAGTACTTAGTAGAGTGAGGTATAAAAGATTTTTGTTTCCATTTTTACCTGGGGAAAAAAATTTCAGCTTTCATATTTTTGAAAAGCTGTCCAAGTCAGTTCCCCTTAAGCAATAGCTTGTGTTTAGGGGAAAAAATGTGATTCCAGAATTCTAATAGCTTATCTCTGATAAGATGCCTATCTGAGCCAACAAGATGATAAAGAGCTTTTCTAAATATTTTTAAAATGAGTAATACAGTTCCTTAATATTTCTAAAAGTTACTGCTCTCACTTTAAAAAAAAGAAAATGTTTCATGTGCTTCTTTTCCACTTTTGACTATGTTAGCTGCTAGGAAATGGTTATTTGATTTTTTTTGTAAATAATTTAAAATGTTTGCTTGTTGATTCAAGTGGTAATTGCTTTATTTAAAAAATTAAACCAAAGAAAATTTTAGAAGCAAAATCACAAGGTTGAAACAAATGATTATAGCCCACCTTGAAGATAAATTCTCAAGCATCATTTTTACAGAAGAATGAAAATTACTTTCAAAACACTGAAACTCCCAAGTTTCCAAAGCCTGCCCTCTTAACGACTGCTAAGCAGATCACTACCAAGGAACTATTTCTTCCAATGCGCTGGACTCCATGCCTCCATTTCCATAACATTCAGTGTTCAAAGCGATTGAAATGGCTTTTCTTTTCTCTTTCATTTAAGCAGTGAGAAAAATAGGTATTAAAAGGGACCCCATGGGGTGATCAAGTCTATCCTTCTGCCTCAAAGCAAGACCACCCCAGAGCGAAGTTGTGAATCTCACCAAAGCAACTTTGTAGGCAGTTTATGGTAATGCGGTAACTCTTCTGGCTCCTAAAGTGGTGTTTAGCAGATTATTGCTTCAAAGCCCGCTGTCTGTGCCTGGTGGCCCCGTCCTTAACCGCCTCCCTGGGTGCCCCTGCTCGACGGAGCCCCAGAGCTGGCGGGGGCAACTGTGAGGCCAGCCTCCTGCCGTCTCTGATGTCGGTGGGCCCCATGTCCTCCCCGGGGCTGCGGTCCAGCCGTTTCCCAGCATCCTTGTTTCTGAGCTCACAAGGCTAGTGTCCAGGTAGGAGAGTCTAGCCACATCCTCCAGAGGTGACTTACTTTGCTAACTGGCTGCAAGTTAGAAAGGGAGTCAGATGGCATCAGTTTTGAAGCAAGCTGATCGTTACTTTCTAAGCGCAGGGAATCAGATTGCTTAATGAATTCCGCCCCTCTTTTGATACCAAATATTTGGGGGCAAGGTGAAATAAAGATCAGAAGTTTTGCTGTTTGGGAGAAGGTGTCATCTCGGGCCCCAAATTATTCATTTATCCTAAAGTGAGCTTGAGTTTCTACTGTTCATAGTAAATGAGAGGGAAGGTTCAAGATGGTCAGTTTGCAGAGAATGGAAATCTGGATTCTCTAAAGGTCGCTAAGAAGAGTGGTTTTTGATGAATCATGTTGTCGGGAGAAACATGGTCTTGCATCTCCGGTAACTTTCCATTTACGTTTTCATTGGTTTCCCAGTAAAAAGCAGCTTTGTGGTTCATACGCAAATGTCCCAGGCTGGTTCCTGTAACTGCGTAATAAAAGTCAGATTTTTATTTTAATGATTTAAAGTATTAAGGATTGCTTTTTAAGTCTTAAAAAAGATTATATCATCAGTAAATTTTGAGGTTGATTTCCCCCCTAAATTTTTTGGTCATTTTTCTGGTGATATCTGCTTATCATTTTTACCAAAGGGATTGATACTGATTCCTCAGTCAAGATTATATAGTTTGAGTATATTTGTAAAACCATGATTCTATATTTTGTGTGACTTGCAGTCATGTTCTACTAAATATTGTGAAATATTTTCTTATTGTCTGGTTCCACAAGTTAAAGGGAAATGGTTATACAGGGGTGCCAGGAAGCGATGAAATAATTACACAGAACAGCTTGGACATGCACGTGTAAAGTGCAACCAGCCTTTATGATAATTAAGCAAGGCACTCTACCTGTTTCATGGATGGATAGAAGATTTAAATATGCAGCTCTGCAAATGGCTTTGTTATGGAAGATTTTTAAATGAAACATAAGTGGAAAAGGCATAAAAAAGGAGTCTAACATTAAAAAGGCCATAGTATATAATAGCTATTAGTGGTGCGATTGTCTATTAGGCATCAGGTACCCAACAAAGATACAGCACTGTGCATTACAATTTTAATTGTGAATTTCCTTTGTTAGAATTGCAATGGAAGGTAATTGGGTAACAATTAGTTTGGGGTTTTCAAGTCTTTGAAACTATTCCGCTTTCCAAAAAACTTACTTTATGGTGTTATAACTCCTGGTTGTCAGCTGGCAGTTGCTGGCATATTACAGATGCAGTCGCCTGTGACAATATGACTTCCTTACCTTAAGCAATCTGATCTCCAGCTAATAACTAACGTTGAATGACCACCCTGTTGATCACCTTGATCATAAAAGGAGCAACAATGTCCAGTTTGGATGCTGAGCCTGAGAAGCTTCAAAACAATTTGGCCAATGGTAAATGACAGGCATGTTCAAAATGTTTTCTAGGTGAAAACAGCTACTATCGCCACTGAGAGGAATGGGAAACCAGAGAACAGTACCATGAACATTAATGCTTCCATTTACGACGAGATTCAGCAGGAAATGAAGCGTGCTAAAGTTTCCCAAGCTCTGTTTGCAAAGGTGGCAGCTACCAAAAGCCAGGTAAGACCCTCTGTTCAGCGTGCAGACTGTTGATCCGCTGTGCCTGTGGAAGTTCATTCAAAGGAGTGTCTGTCTGCAGTTTGAACTTGCGTCCCTGAGAGGGCGCGGCTTCCAGGAGTGTTGACGGCTCTGGGATGAGACAGGGTTCAGATTCAGGTAGTAGATACTCGATTGTGTTTCCTCCAGCAGCCATCATCCAAGTCACAGATTTTTCAGTAAATCCCTCAGTCAGTTAATAGTTGTTTCCAGGAGAGTATTGTAGTGTGTAGGAGGTTTCTCCATCTGGTCTATTGTAGTGGAACAAATAACTTGAGTTATTATTATTTCATTAGAACTTGGGCGACCTTGATTTCCATCCTAAAATACTGTGAACATTATGGTTCGTTTCTGTTCCAACTCTGGTGTCTACCACCATTAGGTGCACTTATTAAAGCAGACACACACACATGCATATATATCTTTGCATATTAATAATTATATATATATATGCATATATATATGAAACAAATTTAATTACAATTAGAAAAACTGTCTAAATCTTTTAGACACTATATATGATACACAATTTTAATTGCAGTTAGAAAAATTGTCTAAATCTTTTGAATTATAAATGAATAGAATTGAATATGGAAAAGTTACAAATCTTTACAAGATGACATAAAAAAGGACAGATAATGCAGTCTTATCAGTATGATTGCTATAAACTGGTAATTTAAGTTTATCAAATATAAGGTCATCTACATGAACAAATTCACAGTTATCTACAAGCTCTTATTCAAAGGCAGGAATACTTTGTAAAGGACCGGAAGAATACTGAAGTCTCTTCCTCTTGGCAGAATGATTTCAATCCCTGGGTTGGGAAGATCCCCTGGAGAAAGGAAAGGCTTACCTGCTCCAGTATTCTGGCCTGGAGAATCCCATGGACCGTATAGACTATGGGGTCGCCAAGAGTCAGACACAACTGAGTGACTTTTCACTTCACTTGATAACACTATCCAAGTGAGATTGAGAGGCAGTCAAAGAAATTTTAGACAAATACATTTCATTATCATTAGTGAACTCTCCTTTATAAAACAGCCTGGCTGCTGTCAACTTCTGACAAGATTATACCATCCTGAGACTTATTTACAATGTGATGTATTTATAATACATATTATAATACATATAAACTTTTATTATTAGCTTTTCCTGGAATCTTACTCTAGCAACATTAATAGTGGTCCTTGATGGGAGTTTTGCTTGAGAAGAGGTTGTTCTTGTTTAAGTTATAGGCTGGCTGAAATGTTTAAGGGGTATCTTGGAAACATTATATAAAAATGGTTAAACTCAAGCTGTGGACTGTAAAAATTATAGCTTTATAGGCCACATGCCTGCCTACCCTTCAATCACTGTCAAAGTGATAATTTCTACAATAATATGTTTCTTTTATTGTGAGATTCTAAACATCAAGTGCTGTTTAAACATTAAACTGAATTGTTTATGTTAGCGCTGTACCCGGCGTGTCATACATCAGGCCACCGTAATCTCTCATGGAATGTAAAATTCTGTCATGAATCATGGCTTGTATATCGGAAATTACTGTAATTTTGATTGGAAATTACAGGGCTCTTGAAATGTTTCTAATTATGATAGAATGTTAGAGCCGCTTCAAACCTGTGTGCTTCTTCAGATGTCTTCATTTACATGCCAAGACTCGGCGTTAAGGAGAAATGTCCTGTGCTCACGTTGCCCCTCACCCACCCACCCCGCACCTTCTTGCTATTTAGTATAATTAGGATGAGGATCGCCTGGGTCAACATGTTTTGTCCTATCTTTCTCTGTGATTATATAGCTCTTCTGACCTTTCCAATTATCGAGAATAACAGACTATCTTCCTACAAGGCCGGACACTTTCCCCAAATCTCCAAAATGGATAAACAGAGAAACTAAACATGCATTATTGCAGTAAGGGGCAGCCTTCAAACCCACAAACAGAAATAGATATTAAAACTTTCTGGTAAGTTGGCATCTGTCATTTAATCCCTATCCCCTCCCCGCCCCCCCAACCCATTTCCTGTCTTACGAGAGCGTATCTCCTTCTGCCTAGCTGTGTTTTGGCGACCTTCATTCTTTCTTTCTTTTAAACAGTACCCCAATTCTGCCCGTCTCAGCTGAGTTTCTGATGTTGCAGCCATTCAGACAGGGTTCAGTTCAGTTCAGTCTCTCAGTCCTGTCCGACTCTTTGCGATCCCATGAACCGCAGCACGCCAGGCCTCCCTGTCCATCGCCAGCTCCCGGAGTCCACCCAAACCCATGTCCATTGAATCGGTGATGCCATCCAGCCATCTCATCCTCTGTCGTCCCCTTCTCCTCCTGCCCTCAATCTTCCCCAGCATCAGGGTCTTTTCCAGTGAGTCAGTTCTTTGTATCAAGTGGCCAAAGCACTGGAGTTTCAGCTTCAGCATCAGTCCTTCCAGTGAACACCCAGGACTGATCTTTAGGGTGGACTGGTTGGATCTGCTTGCAGTCCAAGGGACAGTGGTAGCAGTGGGTCGATGATGTCACTGTGAGTGATGTTCTGGGGGGTTTAAGCATCCTTGCTTTGCATCCCTGTCCTGCAAAGCTCCCCGTGAGTCACTTTCAACCACATCAGTTGTATTTTCTGTGTATCTGCCACGATGAAGTGTTCCCTGAACCCCCAAAGCTGCTGGCTCATCACCTCGCTACCGGTTGAAGGAGAATCCAGGAGGCCAGCTGTAGACTGTTGGGGCCCAACAGACTGTTAACTTTCATTCCCTCACATCACAGTTCCCAACTACTAATTTACTGGAACTTCATTAAAAAGCATTTTTTGTCACTTTCTCTTCATTGTTCAGTTGAAATGTTAGCTACCCTCTTCATGAAAATCTAAAGGTTGATGATTGCCGAAAAATAAGACCGTGCAAAAACGGCATGCATCACTAAGAGAGGAGGCCCGACTTAACAAGGGCAGATAGTCATTGACACGCTGTGTTCTCTTGCCATGGTTTTTATGAAGGAAATAGAAAAACTGGAATACAAACCGAAACAAACAAAAATCTTCAGATGAGACCGGCCTTTTGCCTGGTCAGAACTCTCAAGTTGTGAGTTATTTATGCCTTGGATCCAATTGCCGAGGCCCGGCAGCGCGCAGGTACCCCAGATGCCGAGGGAGGAGCTGGAGGCACTCCTGTGTGAGCCCGTTCCGGCCCATCCGCTTCTGTGTCTGGCCCTGATTCTCTCTTGTCGGCTTGACATCCATCACCTTTTTTGTGCTAGACCCCATCATGTACTATATATTGCCTGCATTTAGTTCTCAGTAACCCTGCGAGCTGTCACATTGACTTCCTCTGTTTACACACGAGGGTCACTTGACTGCAAGTAGGAGAGCCAACCCCAAGTTCCCCGCATCACTATTCTAGTGTCTTCTCAGGGTTCCAGGCAGCATCAGGACCAAAGTCAGCTCCCCTCTGCCAGGAAAGAGGAATTTGGGATGCTGAACTGATCGATGGTCAGAACGGTGAGGGCTTTCCTGTCTTCATTGACATATTCATGGATTATGGGTTCTCGCCATCAGAGGGTTCTCGAAACCCGAGCTGCTTCATGCCTGGTTGGGGCTGGGGTGTAGGGAGGGGTGCCTGGTGAGGACTCAGAGGGGGCCGTGGTCCCAGCTCTGTCACTGGCGTTAGAGCGCCGGGAGACGGGAGGGGTCGCATGCTGTCCTATACTGGGAAGAGGAGTGTTGAAATTTACAACACTGTGACCCAAACACTGTAACACAAACATGTAACAATGTAACACAGTGTGACACACACACTGTAACACAGACAGATAATGGCTTGTAATGTGTTAAGCCAGAGACTCAGACCTTCACACAGAGTGACTTGTTTATTACCTATTTGTGTGTCTCAGACACCTTTCATTTTACAAGGTAAAGCTTTAGGTAGGTTGTCTCAATGGCAGGCAGCAGAATTTTTTTTAAAAGACAGCACAGCCCTAGAATGTTGTGGAACCAGATAACGTAGTGACTGTGGCCTGCGATGACTAATGCACCAGAGTGTTTTCAGGGGAAGAAACCAACTCTGCAGACCCCACCGTTGCACAGGTATTATATCTTCTCTTCGATGAGCAATAGAAATGAGATTGTTTTTAACTGTAATAGAAATGTCTGGGTAAAATATGCAAGTGCAGGCAGAAGGAAGGCTACTTTTTGTGCTTGGGTAGGAAAGCAGGCTAATGCAAACTTTAAAAAGATGATATGCTTTAAACATAATGCGAATAGCTACAAATGAATACACTTTATATTCTGGGTATTCAAATAAGCAGCCGTTTTTTTTTCCAAGTGAATCATACTGGAATTTTATCAAACATTTAGTCTGATAACATTCAAATAATTACAGGAGCAGAATTCGCTAATTTTACTGTTAAAAAAAATAGTTGATTTGGGTAATAACCATTACGGTATCAAGGTTCAGTTACTCTTCAGCGGCTCTGCTGTTTTCATATGGGAGATGGAAATGGAATTCTTTCCTTAATGGTGGCAGATGTTGGAATCTAATTTTATTCCACAGCAAACCCCCTGAGAGCTCTGAGACTTAAGGTGTATGTCCAGCAAGGGGACGTTAGCAGTGCTGTAGGCCTTGCCTTGTACATGGAGTTGTTACATTGATTTTCGTGTTTGCGGAGGTGGGGCTTGCAGATGCGGTGATGCTGCCGGAGTGAAGGGCTTTCACTGTGCAGCTGTATCCCCGCTTGCGTTTAGAAAGTGATTTCTCTGTGCTGATTTATTGAACAGGGTGTTTCTTTTAGGTAAAGCAGTCAGACGATGGAAATTCTATTTGACTGAACATGCTTTCAGTAGAATCGTTTGCAGTCTCTACCCACCGGTCCTGGCGAGTTCCTGGACACTTTGACTGCAACAACTTTGGTGAATAGATGTGGTTTTTCGCACTAAAAAAAGAATTTCTGCCTCTGTGAAAATAGCATGCCAGTCGAAGCAACCA